TTGCCCCAGGCTGCAAAAGACATTATTTATTCCAGGTATTGTTAAATTCCTAGTGAAACACCACTGCTCAATGTAGTATATTAAAATTATATCTAGCAATGAGGAGTCAGGGTATTTTTTACATGGCTAGAAATTCTCAGCTATAAAGAAGCTGATACACTCTATTGATACAGAGCATTTTCCACATTATCTCCTTGACCTCAGAAGAAAGAGCCTCTGTCACAAATGAACACTGCAAAATCAGCGTTCAGCGCTCTTTAATTAAATGAGCATTTAGAACCAATATTTAAAGTAGCAACAAAACCAAAATGGAAGAGCATAATTTGGCAGAAATAATATTTTTCCCTGTAAGGATGTAGACATCCTTGAGTGCACTCTCTATGCCCCCCTTTTTGTGTTTAAAGATTACTGAAACAAAAAATTCCCAGTGCTCATTCAGGATTATAATAGGATGAATGCTTTTAGCTGTAGTGTCCTTATTGGTAGTGAAGTATTGGTATATTTTTGCTAATTTAATAGTAGAAATCAGTTTTCCTCTTTCTGTCAGGCGATGAATTTTTGTTCTTCTATGCTGATCTTTCTGTTGATGTATTATGACATAGTCTGTCAACATGAACAGATATGTGAAAGGGAGATTGGGTGACTGAGACATGCAACCTGAATATGGCTTCTCTTGAATTTTAAGCATATTATCGTGTTTGGGTACAGTCAGTATAAAAGTAAGACTAGTTTTTTTTTCTTTTTCTTTTTTTTTTTTTTTTTTCTTCTCTCTATTTTGATGTAGTTTAAGTGAAAGCAAAAGAGATGGACTTTGACAAAGTCCTAAACGCGGAGTAAGTGTGATAACTCCAAAACATATGCATGAGAGCTAAAAAAGCTTTCACGTCTAAGTTAATAGCCCTTTAAAATGAGTGTTTGCACAGCACCAAAGTTTTTGCGTAAGAACCGATTCAGGCTTATCTGATTATTAAATACTGCTTTTAAAGAATTAAATGATTCCACAAGGTTTACATGGTTTTGTTGTCACAGATGTTTTTATTGTTTGGTGTTAGATATCTGGATTACATCAAGTAGGTGATTACTATATCAACTAAAAAGGTCAAGTTCCATACTTTCTATTTCAAACCATCATAAAGAAACCTTTCTGTAATGACACACATGTCTATACTGTAGATCTCTCCATACTCACTTTAAAAAGGCTTCTATCTGACATATGACTTCATGTATAAAATTTGTATTTTGGTAATTAATACAATGTTAATATTTAGATGAAAGATAAATACTTGTGAACTCAAATAGTTAATTTTTCCTCTGCACATTTCTCATTAAAATATTGGTATTAATCACTAAATATGCAATTTATAGCACTAAAAGTTACTGTCATTTAGAATGATGTGCTATAAAAACATTAATATACTGCTCTTTTCAGGTTGCTGTTATTTAGTTCTGATATGTACCCTCTTAAAATTATAGTAATATTCTTACTTTAATACTTAATTCCAAATAAATCTTCATTTCAAATAAAGCATGCATTTTGATTTGGGACACAGTGAAAAAATCTTTAAAGATATATACATCAACTAATTTGTTAATCTTGTGCCACTTTCAGCATTTGTCACACATATAGACCAGGAAATTGGCTCCATCTCATTCTACCTCTGTGTTGAATTAAAAACCGCTACTGCAAAGAAGAGCATGATGTGGGGAAAGAATAAATTTAGTTCTTTCTTTAGTAATGCACATATATTTCCATACATTTCACATCCTAAGGGAGCCTGTGAACGCATTCAATAAATACAAAACTGTAAATCCAGGAAAAGGGAATTTTTATATTATAAATTTCACATAGGACTTTAGTCTTAAAAGATCTAAAATTATAAATGTCACTATGCTTTTATTCTTTTGTCAAATACAGGATATGGAAAAAATGAAGGCACTGGTATTGGTCCTTGGTATTTCTGAGAATATTAGATATTTTAGAACAAAAATATATTCAACAACACTTGAAGATTAAGAAAATATTAGGTATGTCCTGCCAAACTAGTTCCACCTTACATATCCTAAAATCAAAATCATATATGTAAGCATTTATATGGAACAATTGACTATCTTCACCTTATATATTAAGGTCAGCAAAAAGAAGAGTTTATGGATAAAGGGCAATAATAAAGAGGTAGCCTTTAAACATGATTAGTTGGTGTCTATTAAAGATGTGTTAAAATGAAATATATACTGCAGATGAAGGAAATTACTAACTCCTACTGGGATGATAGACTTGCTATACGTGTATTTCACTATACCTTTAAAATATTTGCGAATTTGACTGCATTCTGAAGAGACAGAGCAATGTGGGAGATTTATGAGGGTCTGACGGAAATAGGGCTAGGAAAGATTATGGCATACTTGTTTAGAAAAACTGAGAACTGAAGGTTCCTGATTTACACTGACATATATCTAGATGAAACTATAGTTTGCAAATTGCCTAGAGGAGCTATCTTTTATTAAGTGTTTGATGGGTACAAAAATGCACATATCTATTCTAAAACATTCTAGGAATACTGATACTGTATTTGCAAAAGCAATTGTCATGTTTTAAGATTTTCTTAAATATTTTTATTTTTACAGTCACTTTACCAGTCCTGTTCTGACCGCTTGTGCCTGCTGACAGAACCCATGGCTAGGGAAGTTGTGCTGCATGATTTGGAATTCTAGGGATAGCGGTGCGCTGAAACACTGGCTGCACTACAGCACTAGGAGAGGTCAAACTGCAGCCTAGTGCTTTTTATCTTTTCAAAAGACTACTAACATTTTGGACACAGTCTATGTCTCCACAATTAGAGACGGGAAGGTGGATGTTGTAATTACTGACTTCCAATATTAATGCACTTCCAAAGGCTGTTAAATTTAACACTGAGTAGCAATGTCATTACTTACATTTATTTTGAAATCAGACAAAGAGTAACAGATAAGGTGTACAGTTTTACCAAGTGCCCTAAGACTTCTTGCACAGAAAGCCTGAAACATTGGTAGGATTTGTCAGCTTCTCAGGTCAACTTCTACTTGTTTCATTCCCACTAACCCCAGGTGGTTGACATGTCTAAGGTGGGTGGCAGGCTGGCTTCACACTATTATTTTCAGTACATTAACTTCCTCTTTCTTTAGGAGCTGTTACATTTTAATCTTATTTTAAATCATTATTATCATACTGGAAATTTGTATTAGTCAGTTCAGTTCTTCTTTCATAACTCACATTTTATTAATGCAATTAAAATTGGTATTTACTGATGCTTCAGGAACAAAATTATAAATTTAAGATCAATTTAACAATGGATTACGTTACACTTTCTAGTTCTGTCAGCATATTTTCAACCCAGGTGAATGCATTATAGAAATATTTGGCAATATTTTGCATAATAATCTACCTATTAGGTGGTAAGATTTGTCAAGATCATAGGTACATTGGTTACCAATTATATATAAGTAATGTTTTTATTTATTTACTTCTTTTTTTCACACACAGATGTTGAAACAGTATTCAAATATCAGCACTTTTAAAGATCTCACTGGCCTCTAATAATACTCATAACATAATAAACAGTATTTGTTTGCTATTGTAAGATTTTTAGTTGCCCACACAGGAAAACAAATTTAAGATCGGACAACTATTTACACTTTCCTTATGGATATATGTTCAGCACACTGACAACTTTACAAAAGTATTTCCACGTTATAGCATAATACAAAGATTTCTACATTTGTGATTAGCTACATGCACTAAAGAATTTTTCAGTAGCTAGCATACTTTTCTTAAATTATTAGCTCATCAGATCAGGGCAAAGATGCCTGGATCTTTCTGAATGTTTGCATAGTGCCTAGCATAACATAATGCGTACTAGAATATAAGGAAATAATTGGCACTTGTTAGTTATAAGCAGCACTTGTTAGCATAGGCCTTCTAGCATGCCAACAAGCAATTAACCTCAGAATCAGTCAATCACCTTTTCCTGGTTAACTCACATTACACTTTGAGGAGAGCTGCCATCTTCTTGTGGAAAAATACATGTAACAGTGCCCTTAACCATGATGTGAGTTCTAGACCAGTGTAGCTGGTCTATTCAAAAGAGTTCTTATTCAAAAGAGTTAGAGCTTTCTAAATAGGAGGGTAATTAAGAAAACTATTTTTCTTCCATGACTGTAAATTAGGAGTAAGTGCACTTAATTCATTGAGACTGCATCTTTGTAAAACTGTGGCACTGAAATCAGAATCAATGTTTTCTTTTCGTACCTAAGAGGTGAAAGTGTAGTACTGTACGTAAGTCAATCAAAGTAATGACGTTGCTTAGCAATGTAAATGCAAAAGAGAAGATTGCTGATGCCAAGAAATTTGCACCCACGTATTGCATCTGTCAAAGAAAGGGAGGTTGCATTGCAACTGCAGTGCAGTGTGGAATCAATGCCCTAATTAGTGACTTCATCTCTATTAGATATGTCTGACTTAAGAAAATATCATGAGGTTATTTATCAGGTTATCATTACTAAGGGTGGCAAGAGTACCTTTTTTTCATTCTTTTTTTTCTAAGATGTGGCAAATGCCTTCAATTCATTTTTTGGTAGACATAGCTGACCATAAGAGAGTTTTATGTGTGTTTTCCTTGTATAGATCAGATAGATTGATAGAGATTTAACATGATAATTTTTGCCTGTTTATTTAAGAATGGTTATTGTGGAGGTGTGGACTTCTGAACTGTGTGATTTAAGGGAGATCACTTAATTACAATAGCAGGAAGTAGCTTCCATAAATGACAACTTTTTTCTTTTCAAAAGTCCACTGAAATACAGATTTGACACCTGTATGAAGCATTATTTTTAGAAAGAGGGAGTGGGACACTTTTTCTCCCTTGACTACCAAAATGACATAAATATCATTTCTTTTACTTTTTCTGTGAATTTTGTGACTTGTGCCTTGGTGTGTGACTGCGATGTGCATTTTTTGTTGACAGATGCGAATAAGATATAGAGTCTTAAATAAAAATGTGCCTGATCCAAAAATATGCAGGATAACTTAAGGAAAAAAAGAAAAAGTGGACTCACTGTATTCCTGGTCATTTCCATGTGGGAATAAACAGATCAACATAGAATAGTATAGGTAAGTGAGTGATGGAAACAAAAAATAAGAAACTTGAGGACTGTAGGATATTTTCACACTGATCTGAAAGACTCCTACATGTTCAGTTCCAAATAAATAAGTCTTCCAATTATGAATTGGAATCTTTCCAGATCAGATAAGAAAGCTACAGAATAGGAGCTTCCTTTTTTTACTTCACAGAAGTTCAGTTACTATTGCTTAACATTCTCCATCTTTCATGGCCAGAATTTCTCTCGGGAATGTTTTAAAAATGAAATCTTTAGGGTTTTTTTTTTGTTTGTTTTTGTTTTTTTTTTGTTTTCTTTTGTTTTGTTTGTGTGTGTGTGTGTGTGTGTGTGTTGGTGTGTGTGCTATTTTCAAATAATCACTGTAGAAATCCTCCTGAGGAATATTCTGGTCTCAAATTGCTTTACATTGGATTAAGTTAACCTTTCAAATTCTTATTGCTGGTTGGAAATTACCTTAGTGTTGTTACTCACTTTTCAAATAAAATCATAATTATTTATGAAATAGTAGTTTTAAAAAATATATGTATGCTTAAGTAAATCTTTGAATATGTGTTTTCTTTTTCTGAGTATGCTGTAGCTAAAAACTGCAATTTTCATCTTGTCTTGATATTCTGTCCACTTTTCTTGGTCCTAGAATCTATGTCCTCAGAGATGTTCATAAATCAGCATTGTTAGGGAAGAAAATGTATGTAAGGTATAAGAATATGAAACTCTCTCTCATGCCAGTGCAGAAATACAAGAAGTTACTCTATTTACAGCAGAATCATGTCTCAACATGTTTTTGTATTGTTAAGGAAACTTCATGGTGCAACTGTGGTAGAATAAGAATATATATGAAAATCAGGTTTCATTGTATATTGCACATAGTTGACACATGCCACTAGATAGAAAAAAGGTTTTAGGCTATATTTCTTAAAATATTAAGCAGTTTTAAGAGCTCTTAAATCGAAGCTGTATTATTGTTAATAAAAAATTTTGGTCAGTAATCTATGAAGGAACATGAAGAAAATCTAGTAAAAGTATAATCTTGTGAAGTAGTGAAGTAGTGAAGAAAGTGTCTTCACTGATGAAGATGAATCTTCGAGAATGTTTGTTTGGATACAAAACATGTTTCCTGGGAGTACTTTTGCTGAAGTAGCATTATGGAGCAAAATTATGATGATCATTATTTATATAGACTTATATTGTTAACTCATAATGTGTTGTGAGCACTGAGAGTTTGTTAATTTTGTTTTTTTTTCTTGTTTAGAGTAACTGATACATTTTCTCATATTTTTTACTTGCAGATTTACAGAGATAATAAGATATCTCTTTCTTTGTTCTGCCTCGATAACAGTTCTATTGCTTTTTTGCCTAGGGAGCTAGAGAGCAGTCTTGGTCATTTAACTCGTATCTTCGGCATGTCCATGCAGTGCAGCACATTTTTGCCTCTTGATTATTAAAACAGGCCATAAAAATCCATTTTAAATGGTGACTTAAGAAATGCATCCCTGTCAATAAAGTAGAATTTGTAGCCTTAGTCATCTTTGATGATTAAAATATATGGTTGCATAACCTCAATTAGTATTAATTATTTATTCTAAGTGCTTTATTCTGATATTTCTGTACTTATACACACGTTTTCTTTTCCTAGGTACCTTTTTAATGCTGAAATGGGCATGCTAATTGTGAACTGTGTGGTCAGAAGCTCCTAAAATATTCAGTAACTTATTTACTGGAATTTAACAAGCTGTGTACTTCAAAGCTTCTTTCACCTCTAATTATGTGCATAAACACTGTGAATTGTATTGCCAACTTGAGATTTGGCACAGTAGCAGCAGTGCTGAAGCAGCCCCCGCCACGAGGAAAGGTACAAACATGGGCAGGCGACCTGTGATGGGCCAAGAGACCTCTCTTACCAGGATTTGCTCACGGTTATGCTTCTGGCAACTGACATTTCCATTTTACTCAAAGCTCCTACCTTTGTGTCATCAGACAAAGCCCCATGAGTGGTGGCAGAGCAAACTGTAGCCTTCATTCTCAAGTTCGAAGAGGAAAAGTTATTTACATGCCTAAATCGCAGAACACGCTGTTCAAAGGTCACTCTGTTACTTATTGTTTTTAACCACTAAGTTTTTCAAAAAGTCTATAAGGAAAAAGCACATATTTTGGGCAGAAGCATTTAATTGGTTGCTTTCTTGTTTTATTTTCCTTTTCTTATTGTATGATCTGATTTTTGTACTACCAGAGGAACGTTGAAGATGGGATGCTGCTGTCATTCCTCACCATGAATGATTACTTAAAGGGACCATCAGAGATTGCAAGACAAATCTCTGACCCTCTTTAAGATTTTTATGTTCTGAAAAGGAATGACCTTTAATTGGTTAGGATTTTGGAATTTATGATGTAAAGAAAACTATTGATTCCTGTGATGACTGATCCTTTACTGTTTTTATCAGACTTTCAACTGAGCATTTCATTAACATTATTGTTTATGAATTTAGGCAAATATTTGTTTATTGCTGCACTGCCATTTTCCCCCACCCCATTTTAGACATATTTTCCTGAATGTGAGCTTGAATTTAGCAACAAGCAGTCTGATTTCCAGAAATGTATTGTTATCAAAGTACTCTCTACCAAGATATATGAATGGTGATATTAAGAGAAAGCACAAATAGTGCCTTTATTCATTCAGAGATGAAGCACTGAGAAGTCAAAGTTATACAGCAGAAATGAATAAATGCAGCTCGAAATATTTTTGTATTCCAAACTACAAGAGCAACTCAAACAATAAGGATAACATATAAACAAACAAACAAGCAAACAGAAAAGTTGGTTGATTTCCTTAAAAATGTTTGGAACTTAAAAGAAACTTTAAAACTTATAAACAAAAAGAGGAAAGCTGTCATTTGACATGGTGATTAAGGCAGACTGAAGGACTTGTCTCAGAGGCTGTTTATGCTGCTATCGCATGGCAAAACTGTGTGGGGCATTTAATCTCTCTTAGTTCTCCTGCTTGTAAGTAACAAGCTGAAGTAAGCATTACAGCTACTTCAGTCTAGTGTTGTGCAATATTCAGATGTTTCACAATACAATAGAAAAGTGTGTCACAGTGTACTTAAAAGTTGCCTGTTAAACTTCATGTTTTTGAGATAGAAGAAAATTTTGGCTACACCTCTTGAAAGAGCTCATTTGTTAAGGTGGTGGTGGCAGCTTTAAGCTTCTCTGAGATATATTTTCTTATTGGTTGTTTGTTTTTTAACTGCTTAATGAGCTAATTTTTGGTATCACGTGTGGAATATGTATGTCTCCTATGACTGACAGGAAGGATGGTTTCTGCAAATAAAAAATTCTCTTTTAGGAGGTCCTGTGATCAGTGGAATTCTGTCACCATCACAAAAACATACTTAGCATGGCGTGTATTTCCCATTTCAGCTAATAAACCTAACATCTTTGTCTGGCCAACATCTCAAGCCTGTTTGCTAAACGATATTACTGGAAGACTCCTTACCATTAAAGCAATTGAGATTGAGTCAAATAATATGTAAATGACGTAGCTTTTCCCCATAAATAAACAAGTTGATACTTTCCAGCACAGTAACACTTATTGGTAATGATAATACCACAGCCTTGAAGAGGTTATCTAGAAAAGATAAACAGAGAAAAATTGGTTGCATCATATTTTCAAGTGGACATATACATGAATGTCTTCAGATCAGGACCGTGCTTCTGAAGTTACTCTCCTGATTATCTCCACTTACTGTGCTACGTTTAACACAGCGTTCATGTTGCCTCATGGGCAGGAACTAGCTTTCTTTTGGGGAGCAATAAGTTGAGATATATTGTCTGGGTACTCACACCAGTACTCCATTCTCAAACAGATATTAGGTTCATCGAACCATATGAACTGATCCTGAAGTGAGGACAGCAGGACTTCAACACTAATTCTAAAGAGCCTGGTCATTTTCTGTTTGTTATACTATCTGTTATTCCTAAACATAACATTGGCAAGGCTACAGAATCCTGCATCAGTTGGTAACCACCAACTCTGTTGAGTTCACAGAAGATTTTGCAAGGAAGGAAAGTGCACAGAGATCTCTGTGTTGATGGTTGTGGTTTGCTGATCAGTTCCCAGATCCATAGGAAATGGTCATGGGCTCTTTCTGAGATTGAGCAGAGGTAGACACTGCCAAGGTAAAATTATTTAGAAAGAAACAATACTTTCCCCTTGGTTTGTACTTGAGCAACAAGGACAGTGAAGTGCCCAGAATATTTTGCACTGTGCTTCTGGCATAACCTAAATTTTTCTTCTGCAACATGGGCATATTAGCCACACACATTGCAGTTATATAGGACTATAGTAACAATAGTTTATTTGCTGTAGATTTTCTCAGATTCTATAAATAAAGAGAATATTTCTTGAAAGAACAAGACAAGACTTGGATCGCTGTGAATTTCCTCTCAACAATTTTGGTGACTGCACGTTTGGACTACATGAAAGGATATCAGCAGGGTATTAGTGAAAGTTGTACAAAACCTATATAAAACTAAAAGTTATCTCTACAGAAAATACTGGAATCGATGCCTACTCTCAAAATAGGCCCGTAGCAGTGTGGCTGAGATTTTTTTCTCTTGAGATTTAAACCATGCCCTAGCCTTGCCTGTAGCTTTAGGTTCTTTCAGTGAAGCTCTGAAAGGTTTTCTGGCATTGAAAAATGGCCAGAGTCTATGACGCAAGAGATATTAAAAAAAAAAATAATCATCTGTGCCTGAATCTGAAATTTAGGGTAGGAAAGACAACTAATCAAAGACAGAACCAAAATGGTTTATAAGAACATCCAAATTAGGAACGCAGAATTTTACTTTTGAGATCATCAGCAAAGTGACACAGATGTCCTTTACCTGCATATTTGCCAGGTTAAGCACCAGCCTACAGCAAAAGTGCAGGTCATATCACTGATATATGCTTGTCAGATGCCATTGAAGATATTGGGTCCTACAGAAAAAAAGGAGAAACTATTACATTATAACTGTATTATTATATGATACAGAAGGATGTGTTAGGATTGCTGGTGAGGTAAAGATTAAAACAGAAAGTAACTCATGAACATAACCTTTCATGTGTTACCTACCTTTATTTAAATTCAGAGTGGTTTAAGTTTTTAAGGGGCATCTTCTGGACTCGTGTTTCAGTGGTGAAAATGCCTAATTTGCGTATAGTCTAATCATGTTACTATTTCAAGTTACTTTAATTGCAGCACTTACGTAAGTTCAGGAAGCAGAATTTCATTCCATCTCATGATTACTTATTCACTTACATTAATCACACAGTCAGAAAACATGGAATTAAAAAAAAAGGAACTACTGAAAACTTGATTGAACATACTAGAGAAATTAATGTTACTAAATGTGTTCATATGGAGCTTAAAAATTTCAACACACTTCAAGAAATAAATGTAGAAAACAAACAGGGAAATACAAATGCTGTGGTTTCCCCAAGAAACTTAGTTTTCCTACTGTTTGAACTAGCTAATATATCAAAAGTAGACAGGTATAAAAAATAGCTTTTGAAGCTCTTTACATTTTATTATTTTTTAATTCTTGTATCGTATATACTTACTGAGATAGAAACAGTTTGCTTTCAGTCTGATGTGAATCTCTGAGACAAGTTAAAATACTTGTGGGGACTTATTATATTAACTTAGGGATAAAAAAATTGTTCCCACTTGGTCATATTAGGTTCTTCAGTAAACTATTTTCAGGCTTGAACAGGTGCATGACTGACCTGAGGAAGAGGTATGTTAAACATTTTAGAAGTTGGTTACTTTCCAAGTCATTAGTCCTATTCTTCTGACGTCTCTAAAATGCCCTAAAGCAACCTACAGATCATTACCCTCTAACAGATGATTTTTAGAATTCTATTCTCCATCCACAAGTCTACAGATCGACCTCTGTGTATGTAGTATGACTTGTCATACTACATGTCTGCTGTCTCAGACATGGAAGCCATTTTGTATTCTTAATAACTAGCTTGGTCATTAATATATCAAAATCCATACTGGCACAAAGTATCTGGTTACATTACGAACAGTGATTTTGCTGTATTGTTATGGATGTTTAGACTACACAAAACAACAGGTTGCAATGCTGTGCTTTCAGAACTGCAGTGGTATGCGAGTGGGCACATATGCACAGCAGATCTCTAGTTATTGCAGGAAAGGCAGTCTCTGCTTCTGCTATATATTTTCACAACTGATAGGCTCTTACTTTTTTTTTTTTTTTTTTTTTTTTTTGAGGTTGTCATATGGTATAACACTTTTACTAGTTGACTCCTCCTACTTTTCTTCAAACCACATCCTGATTTTTGGCCTCAGAAACCAAGCATATGCACAGCTTGCAGAACAACACATGATATTGTTTCTGTATAACATCATACCAGCTGGGATATAAATTCCTACAGACAATTTTATGCGAATGAAAAATACCTACATTAAGACATTTTCCATAGCTATGCAATACATACCACAGTAGAGCATATGGTCTAGAGTCAGAGATCCTCACTTACAAGTATAACAAAAGCCCCAAGTCAGGCCTCAGATCTTCAGACAGTGTAATTTTTAATAGATCATTCTAATTTCTTTCTATTTTTTTCATACTTTTTCTATTGTGTTTTGGATTTCTGGAATCTAACGTCAGCTATTTTGCTGCATTGTTGAAGACCCTTAATCTTTTTGATTTATCCAGTGTGGAGCACCATAAAGCTATTATTTAACTAAAAAGCAACAAATATTTGGTGAAACTCTAACTCATATCATAATTTAAAGATATACCAATAGCAAGAACTTACAATTTGTGGGAAATACATTTCAACATTTGTTTTCACTATTAGAAAACTGTTCTACATCTGATTTGTCAGTTTTCCCCAGAATTTTTGTGGGTGGAGCTGTTATTTTATTCTCCCTTCATGATAAATAAGATTTGGATATAAGTATTTCTCGCATGACCTATAAACTTTAACCAAGTTGCTCCCAATCCTCTTTTTTGATAATCAGTTAATCACAGAAAATGATTTTCTTTCTCTCTCAAGTTCTGCAACTTTTTATTTCCTTCTACCATTTCTGTTAAAATATGGACAACAGAACTATGGGAAATATTCCAACGGTTGCATCAGGATTCAAAGATTATATTAGCTCTGTTCATGCAGTTTCACAGTAGGTAGTCATGTTGAATTGCTAGTACACTATGCCCCATAAATCCTTGCAGAGTTGATGCATTTTGAAGCAATATACCATTTTTTTGGGGGGGGGGAGTGAAATTGTTTTGTATTGATGCACAAGCTTGTATTCATCACTTCCAAAATGCTCTTTTTTTTTTTTTTTAATTATTATTGTTATTTTTAATGGGCCTAGCTTGTTAAGAGATCTCTTCTTCCCTGAGACGAGTGTTATATACTACTTACCTGCCTTTCATCCTTAACATGGTAATTTCCAATGCACCTCCAGATCACTGTTGAAAATACTGAGCAGCACAGGGCCTAGAGCTGATCCCTGATGACCACTGAAAAGAGTCAATAACAATTTTCATTTTAAGGTATATTCTGATCGCCTGTTGACCAACTCTTAATGAATTGAAATTATGAGCATTAATGCAATGTAGTAGATTTTTTTTCTTAATAAAAATATCATAAAACAAACTTTCATTGTGTGTTTATCAATTAAACCATTAGAAGATGCATAACTCAAAGAAAGATAAAAAAATTAGTTGACCATGTAGAAAAGAAAACTTTAAGAATTACTGTTCTTCAATTTGCTCTGCACATGTAACTTCATTTCACCTTTGTGAAGCAGTTCATATAATAATACTGTTCATATTCCAGAACTGGAGAGATTCTGATTTTTCTGACATATATCTTGTAAAATATGAAGGGCTTTTTGAATTTATTGATGTTTTCTTTAAGAAGCTTACAACACTGGGGTTGGGCCCTGGTGTATGCACTGTCTTCAGTTACTTTTAACATGTTTTACTAGCACTTTATTTGTCAGATGGGTGATGTAATCTCCATAGTTTTCCACAAAGAATTTTATTCATAAAGTTAGAAAATGATTTTTAGCTAATTCTTAATCTGTGCTTTGTCAGAAATACCTTGTATTCATTTCTTTCTGTACGAGGTAGTATTGCAACTGTTACATTGACAGAAAAATGTACGTCCACAGTCCTCTCAAAGCTTTATGAACATCATGGCTACTCTCCTATGCTTACCCTGGTACACCTGAATGTTGCCCGAGTTTCTGAAATTAAAGGGGAATGAGCTGATGACCTTTGAGGGGACTAATTTAAAATGCCCCCCCTTTTTTTTGGGACCCCTCTCATGTCCAAAATAAAGTTCAGGTGCAGTTTGTTAAAAATAAATTTCTAACAAATTTATTCTTGAAAAATGATAACCTAAATCTTTTGAATTTATTGGACATTTCTG